AAACTTAAACACAAAAAAAATATTATTAATCTAAACATTATGCGGCGGTGATGAACTGTTCATATAAATTTTCATTTTTCAGTATTGTGTGAGAATTAAAAACATATATATTCATCTAAGAAAATTGTTATCGACATTCTAAAATGAGAATTTTCCGTTTTCTTGAAATCTCTGCCCATTATGACATTGGAGGACCCTCAACTCCCTTAACTACCTCTACCCTCCCTTCTTCAATGCACCGTTTGCCTCCATTTACTTGTTTAAAGAAAAATAAAATATTAGGGCACATTATTTCACAAAGGTCGGGTTTGATATTGAATTATTGCTATATTATACGATCTAGTCAAATTCTCAACTCTGTTATTGTATCAAAGAGAAAAAAAAATTAGGAAGGTAATAATTCCACTTTTTGCTTAATAATTTATTTGATCACAAAGTTAAAACAATATACCTAAAGAGAAAATAAAAGTGTGGAAATTAAAAACTCTACATAAACCTAATTGAACTAGTGGACAACTTTGCCCTCCTTTTTTAAGGCTGAGCATGAGCATGAGCTATACCCTTTGATCCATAGCGACCTGCCAAGTTACCCAACTTGTTCACCTATACAATGTACCTTTCTTTCCCTTCCATTAAGGCTCACCATTTTTGGACCAAAATAATAAATTGCATCCATCCATGGACAGGAGAAGGAATTAGGTAGAACGTAGGGATTTAGTATTTTGTTTCTAAGTTTCCAATTTAGTTATATCCTAAATTAATTGGTTGATGCAATGCTATCTGAATTTATGAATTGCTTGGCATCCGGAGTTATGCCTCTTTTTTGTAATTGTAATCAAAATATGAGGAATTGAATTGATATGAAGTAAGAATAAAACTGCGTTCATACAAGTAGTTTACTAACTCACCTGAATATGAATAAAAATGAATATGATTACTAAAATACCCTTTTTTCTAGATAATATATTTGTATGTTAATTAATTGCATAATTTTTATTCAAATTAATCGTATCATTACTGATGGACAAAGAAGCATTCCCACAAGTCACTCTATTCTATTTTTATATTTTCATCTGTCAAAACTTAGTTAAGTTGGTTATAATTATCTACTTTTTTTATAGGGAATTTTAACGAAAAACTCCCGGTACTATTCACTTTAACGAAAAATCACATTTTTACACTAAAAAGTCAATCATGATATTATTCACTTTATCCTTTATTTTGTGTTTATTGTTAAAATTCAAAGATTTCCGGCCATTTTCATTAGTTTAGTTTTTTTTTTTAACTTAAGTTATTGTTTATACATATATATATACACACACACACGCACACACACATATATGTATGTATAATAAAATAAAATAAACATTTCATCCATACATCCTGCAGCCCATGTGATGTTTTTATATTAACAGTAGATTCAGAAGGATATTTTGAAGCAATGATGAATCAAGAAGACAAAAGTTTGGATAATGTTATGAACCTCTTTTCCCTTTTTAAGCCATACTTAACCTTTGCTTCATCCTAGCCGCTCAATCAATGCGCCTGCACACGTGTCAGTTGATGCCAAAGCTGGCACACCTAGTAGTCTGTGTGAGTGTTTTTTATCCCACAATTGCATGCTTATTGATTTTCTGCTATTTATAGCCCCACACCACCAAGTACCCACCACACTTGAATCTAAATAACTCCCACTTCCTTCTCTTCTTGTTCACATCTCCCTCCTCTTGCTCCTGAGGTTATTTTTGCCATTTCAGGAGGGGATTGTCTGTAACAATGGCCATGGCTAAGTTCTTTGCTGCCTTGTTCTTGGCTCTCCTTGCCATCTCCATGCTTCAAACCATGGTATGAACTCAAATATTTATCTTTACACCCCCCAGAAGTTAAAAAGGAAAAGAAAACTTTTTTTCCAATGACAATATAAAGCCCACCTGCAATTACAAACTAACATATTTTGTTCATCAATTTTGTTGCAGGTTTTGGCAAATCATGGGCATGGAGGTCATCACAAGGGCAATGTAAGCTCTCTCTCACTACACCTCTCTCACACACAGACCCACTATTTATACCCAGCAAATAATGTGTATTGTTCTATAAAGATTGAATCTTTATCTTTCTTTTTTATTAATTTTTTTACGAATTATGATGATGAAATGTTTGCATTTTGCTTAAATGTTGTTTTTTTTTTTTTCTGATTTCAGAATGCCTATGGACCTGGGAGTCTCAAGAGCAGCCGTAAGTAGATAATCTAACAACCTAATTTTCTTTTCTCTTCTTTTTTAACATGACGATATTTCAAACTATTTTAATATACCAAAAAAAAAAAAAAAAGGATTTTAAACTTGGATGCAACCGTGCCACCAGAAGGCGAAAACACTAAAAATATTGTATTGATCAACTGACTTAACATACTTACCTATTAACATTTCTTTCTTGATACTAAAGTTTCTTTAGCCAAAAGAAGAAAAAAAGCTTGAATTTCTCTTCCCAGTCAAGTTCTTGATGATCATTGACTTTTTACTCTAAAAAATCACTTTTGATACTATTCTCTTACAACATATTTTTATCATTTTGATTAAAACTTAAAATTTTCAATATATTTTCGTTAGTTTTTCTTATGTTTATTTGTTAGGTTGAAAAAGCAGGGTGACTGTTACAATTTCGGTTTTGTGACTTTTGACTGTCTCGGTGTGTGTGATAAAATGACCAGAATGCCCGTCCGAATGCACGAGGAGGTGCAGCCAGACGCAGTACCACAAGCCCTGCATGTTCTTCTGTCAGAAATGCTGCAAAAAGTGCCTGTGTGTGCCCCCTGGGTTTTACGGGAACAAGGCCGTGTGCCCTTGCTACAACAACTGGAAGACCCAGCAAGGAGGACCCAAATGCCCCTGATTAATTTATCCCTTAATTATCCCTTAATCATCTTAGTATTACTAATTAACTATATATAATAATAATATATAATATAAGTTACATATATACATAAAATGTATGAGTTCTCTTTGGAGCTGGGTTTGTTCTGTTGGTTTGAGAAAGACTTGAATTTGTCATTGTCTTGCCAATTTCCAGTCACTGAGAATTTGGTTTGAATTAGAGAAACCCTAATATGTATTGTCATCAACGCAATTTCTGGTTTTATAAATGGAATAATTAAAAATTAAAATTTGCACTATCTTTTGTATTGTGGATGGTGGAATCCTACTTGAGTCTTGTGCCCCCATAGTGGTCGGCCTAATGTGAGGGTGGTTGTCCACAGGAAGCAAGGGGGTACTCACGACTCATATCTATTGTGTGCCTTTTAAACAAGAGATTTTCTATTGTTTTAGTGGCGTTACCGATCTAATAAATGTTAGACATATATTTTAGTGTGAAATTTCTGAAAGATAGCATGCCAATGCTTAATTGCATGAGAATATCTCACATTTGAAAATTATGGGGTAGCACAAGACTCAATTTTGTGCAGTTTGATATGAACAAGTATAATTAGTTACAAAATTTCAATTGAAAATAGAAAACTACAATAAATGTGATTTGGGAAAGAAGGAACAATGCATAATTACTTTATTAGTGTTGATAACAATCATTACAATTAAAATGGGCCACAAGCCGCAAAAGCTTTTGCTTGAACAAAAGTCCTAAAGAATGTTTGGGCCTCTATCTTTAGAATGTGGGCCTATCCTATTGCAAGCAGCAAGGAGCCCGGTACCATATATAGTAAAATTTTCTCACCTCCAAATCTCCTTCCCTCCCTTCCCTTCCTCTCGTACCCTGCTTTTCTTTCGCTCTCCATGAAGAAGTCAATACCAGATGTTGACATGCTTAATCGTAACTATTCAAATAGGAGGGGACTGGAAGGAAGGGGAACTTGGAGGAGAGAATTCTATTTCGTACCATATATATGCCATCATATGAGGCAGCAAGTATAATAATGGGAGTTTTAACGAAAAGCCCACGGTACTGTTCACTTTAACGAAAAACCACATTTTTACACTAAAAAGTCAAATCTGGTACTATTCACTTTACCCTTTATTTTGTCATTATCATTAAAACTCAAAGTTTTCAAGCCCTTTTCATTAGTTTTCCTTATAATATATTAGTGGTTTTCCTCTGATGAAATGAACGGCTGTTTATATAGTTCATCCCTACTAACTAGTTTGCTCCTGTAGATATTAATAAAAAAATAGTACAGAAAAGTAAAATTACAAAACCACATGAATAAAACCCATAGGTACATTACATACTTTTCTTACAGGAGAAGAGAATTTACTGGTTTATACAACCATCGTTATTCACCATACAATACACAATTGTTTTAAATAAAAATAACACAGACACATACTATATGCCAACATTACAAACACATAACTTCAGCTTTCCATTCAAGGTGATTCGAAACACCGAACTCCGAAGAAGAGTCTTTATATCAATATCGATGAGAAGTCATGTTAATACTGCGACGCTGCAACTGAGACCTCCCCCGCTGCCAAATTGCCTTCACTTCGGTTCTGTGCACAACACTAGTTATTAATGAGAATGTGTAATTAGATAATTTATCATGGAAGAGTTCAAGGTAACAGGAACTAAATATCTGAGTCTGAGTCAGTGCTTGCTTACACGTGTACTTGCCCACCATGCTATGAGATAGGATGGTAAAAGAAAACCCAGCAAAGCCTGTGTGTATCAATCGTCATGGTGCTGAGTTAATCTTAACCTTAACAAAAAAGAAACATTTTCTAAGAAGAAAATATATAGATTTAGTGTTGATTAATATCCCACTTACACAAAAGACAGTAAGCAAATCGCTATCCTCTCCATTTTCGTGGATGTAGTAGATATCTTTCATCACAAGAAATGTGAGGCACTGCAAGGCAATTAATTGGACATGTCAGGAGCGCATTCGGTTCTATATTTGTGTGTGTGTGTGTGTACATTTGTATATGTAGTTCATGAATTTGATTGATATATAACTGAAACTATTATGACTTAACAAAGATATATGATTAGCTTCTTGGCCTTACAATAACAGCTGCAATGCGACATAGTACACCTGCATTGAAAGATTTACCACCATTAGCCTGCATAGCATGCTGTTGGCGGAGGAACTCTGCCGCTGCCTCTATCTGCGCAGTCCTTTGCGCAGCTTGCAGCCCCGCCTGATCAGTATCCACCGTAAAATAAGTTCCATCTCTGCTACACATGCATCCATACGCATGTATATCATATTAGGTACATGATCAACGTTAATTTATATGGTTATAACTATAGCTTTGGGGCATTGGACTTGCCTGATGCCAACAGTGACATTTTCTGTTTGAGCACCAGGCGGTGGTGGGGGTATCACCATCGTATATCCGGCCTCATAGGGCTGTGTATTCAGTGGCACAAGAGAAACAGAAAAGAAAAAAAAGAAAAAAACTTCATTTTTCATAAACCCTAAAACCAATATTTATATAGAAAAAAATGCAGAAATGAGTTAAGAAGCATGCTATATAATATATACCTGGTTGCAGATTTCACAAGTCATACTTAGCCTCTCGTTGATCCACTTTTGAATGCAATCCCTGTGAGCAAACTATACAGCGGAAAAGAAAGCCAGCCATATTAATTATTGATGCCAAATTGAAAAATATTTATTTGAGCTATTTGCATGGTTTTTTTATTATTATTTTCAACCGATAAAAAGATAAATAATCATCACATTTGGACATACGAAACTGACATTATTACTGATACATCTCTAATAAATAGGTCCTACAAACCTACCAAACCTAAAGTTGACTAGCTGACATTGCTGACACGTCTTTTTGAGGATAAAAAGCGTTACATGCATGTTCATATGCAAGTAATTAACAGCACATGTATGCTATGGTGTACCTTAAGTGTGCCGTTGCAGCGGCAAGGAGCTTCGAGTTTGTGAAGGTAATCCTCCTCCTGGCAAATTCTGCATTCATTTTGTTCTCCAATACGAGATCCCTGCCCTTCTTCTATGTTCTCATTCGAGGATCCATGACCTGCTTTTATGTCTTCACCCAACGCCTCTACTTTCTCCATTGCTTCAGTGCTACTACTTTCGCCGGAGGCCGCCGATTTCTCTGCCATCTTGCTCCCGGTCTCCATCGAAGATTAAGTACCGTTACCTTAAAAAAAACTATACAGATCAGTACTTTTTAACACACAAAAAAGCCTAATTTGTCAGCAGATCAGGCATACATAATAAGATGCCACCAGACCAGATGATCAGATCTTGAAACATGCAAAAAAAAAAGAGAAAGAATATATAATCACAATAACCAATTAAATGTAAGCATTTTAATTTGCACGAATATGTAGAAAAATCATCAAATGTTTCCATGGGGAAAACTATTAAACAGAAGCAAATCCTTGAAAAATATGAGGAAAAATTGGGAAAGGTGGTCTCCTTAAACCCTAGATAAATATTTATATATGCTGTATTATATGTACATAACCGACCAAAAGAACTATATATACACACATAAAAATAGCTCGAAATCAGTATATATATATATACAGCAAAATTAGACAGAATGCTCAAGGGTAATGAACTGAAGGACAGAAAGAGATCAGAGAAAAAATGCACCGCCGACTGGTGTTCTTCTCTAAGCTTCTCTCTTCTCAGACTCTCTCTCTCTCTCTCTCTCTCAGAGCAGTGCGTGTTTTTCGCTTTGCATCGAGGGCTTAGAATAGCTCACATTTATAACGCAGTGGGTGGACTAGGCTCGGAAGGAAACAAAGTTCATGAAATCCATTTGGCGCCCGGCATGCATGGCTGGGGATGGACGCGTAATCCAGTTTTTGTGCCACATAACCATGCTTTTGTGTTGCAATTTGCTTTTTCATTCAATTTCTTCTGGTTTTTTCTCCTCTTGTTTTTATCTACGACGGTTACCCAAGGTTGGATTTTTCCTACTCAATTACTACCATGCCATTCATTTTATCAGAAAAGCCCTTCTTATATTTTACAGATATGTGTTCACGAATCCACAAGAGAAGTTAACATGTATAATTAGCCATGAAATTAATACATATTGAATTTCATGATTAACAACTGCACAATACTTGTGCCTTAATCAGAATGTCATTCATATTTTAATCACAATTTATAGGAAAACTAATGAAAAGTGTTTGAAAACTTTGAGTTTTAACGATAAGGACCAAATAAAGGGTAAAGTGAATAGTACCAAGATTGACTTTTTAGTGTAAAAATGTGGTTTTTCGTTAAAGTGAACAGTACCGGAAATTTTTCGTTAAAGTTCCCTTTTAAATATTGATTCTACAAATGTCAAAATCAGAGTACCACTTATATATAAGTATTAAACAAATTGATGGTTCATAATGAGAATGCCAGTTTTTATCAGATCATTGATTTGTTATATACATAAGGATAATTACATTAATGACCTCCAATTTGTTATTGTTTTTGGTTTTTTTTTTTTTTTTTGTTTTGTTTTGTTTTGTTTTGTTTTTTTGTTTTTTTGGTAGTGGTATTCACACATTTCTTTTTACCTATCACATACCCTTGTTATGATCTTCTTCAATTTAATTAATTCAACGGCCGAAATTTGAAAAGAGTGCGTGAGAGATAAAAATGAGTGTGTGGATAGCACCATCATTTTTTTTTTTTTTTTTTTTGCAAAAAAAATATTTATATTGATGGTTAACAAAAAAAAAAAAAAAAAGGCAATTACACTGTGTGTATGGTTAAATTTCATATTCGAATATGGGTGACACCAAGAAGGTGCCCTAATAAAGTGTATGTGAGTATTGCCACTAATTAATAAATATGCATTCCTCACCTCTTAGTATAAAATATACTGTTGTATTAAAACAAACAAATATACGTGTATTTTAAATTTTAAATACTCAATGTTGATGCACAAAACCGGAGGTCTTGGTACAATGTAAATCCGACCGTGAATCTGCATGAAATGTAAATAACACAAGATGTATCATGGTTCACCCCAAGGTTTGGGCTATGTCCACACTGATTATGTATTTATCTGAGGGAGAGAGAGCTCTAAGAGTGAGAGCTTGGAGAGGGGTGAGGAGCCTTAGGAATTGGCCTAAAAAATGGCCTCCCCTAATTGTGAGGGTAAGGGGTCTTTTTATAGAATAAGGACTCCTCACTTATTACATATTTGCCTCTTCCTTTATCACATAATTACATTTAAGTCTCTCGATTATTTGTACGAGATCTAAATACGAGGCCCTAATATGGTATAAACAGTAGTCCCCCAAGTCTTCAGTCAAGAGAGTCCTTTGGTTGGAGACTTGAAATTCAGTCCATGTGTGGGCCGAAGTAACTAGATGCTATCTTGAACTGATGCTCGATATGAGGCAGTGCTCAATCTGAAATGACGCTCAACTGAAGTAGCACACGCTGCGAGGCTACGAGGCTCGTGGCTTATGTTGCCTTGGTTGGCTCGGCTTGCGGTGTTTGAAGGTGAGGGAGTCCCTTTTATAGAATAAGGGCTCGCTCCTCAATACATGAATGATGGGCTAGAGTTGATACTCTCTAATGATGGTGAGGGAATCCCTTTTATAAAATGAGGGCTCGCTCCTTAATACATAAGTAATGGGCTAAGTCCCCCAAGTATTTTTCATGAGGCCCAGTTGAGGCCCAATATATGGTACATAATGTAGTCCCCTAAGTTTTCGGTCAATAGAGTATGTTGGCTGGAGACTTCAAATTGAATCCATGTATGGGCCGAAATGACGGTTGTTCGAAGGCGGTATTTGTAAACCCTGCATTGGAGCTTTGTAGGTGAAGCTTTGCAAGTGAAGCTTTGGAGCTAGAGCTCTGTAAATGAAGCTTTCGAAGCTGGAGCTTTTGTAAATGAAGCTTTTGAAGCTGAAGCTCTGTAAATGAAGCTTTTGAAGCTGATTGACATGAGTGATGCTCATGAATGTTTATGTTGATTGATATGAGTGATGCTCATGGATGTTGTCATGAGTGATGCTTATGAATGTTAACATGAGTGATGCTCATGAATGTTGACATGAATGATGGTCATGAATGTTTATGTATGATTGTCATGAGTAATGCTCATGAATGTTTATGTATAAATGACATGAGTAATGCTCATGTATAATTTGGAGTACTATGCGTACTTTTGATCACCTGGTTGGTGGCATGAAGGAGAGTACGGGTTGTACATTTCATCCCCTGGTTGGTGGCATGAATGGCTAGTTGCCAAATGATATTAGAGTACGGGTTGTACATTTGATCACCTGGTTGGCGATAATAGCGGCGGGTTGCCCGAATAATTGTGGAGTACTGGGCGTACTTTTGTTCACCTGGTTAGTGGTAATAGTGAATAATTGTGGAGTACTGGGCGTACTTTTGATCACCTAGTTGGTGGTAATAGTGGCGGGTTGCCGAATAATTGTGGAGTACTGGGCGTACTTTTGATGACCTGGTTGGTGTTATTTCGGGCTTATGGGCTTTCGCCCTCCACAACATGCCAACCCATTTGTTTTGGGCTTTGCCGTTTTTTTTTTTAAATTTTTTTATTACCCTCTGATGGGGTTTATACAGATATCTCCGAAAGATAAGAAAAATAAATCACATCATACATATGCCAAGAAAAGTAAATCACATCATTCTGGTGGGGTGTTTATTCCTTGCTTTTGTTTTCTCTTTTACTTTCTGCTTTTGCTTTCTCTTTTCCCTTTTGGCAAATGGTAGACAACACTTCCGTATTGGTTGAGGAAGTGCGCAGGCAATTATAAGCTATTACAGCTGGGTTTCTTTGGTCATCCTCGGGAATATTTCTTTCAGCCTTGCCGACAAGATTTGCACCGACATAAGCAGCTTTGGTATACATGCCTTCTCCTTTTTCTTTTTCTGCTGTTTGAACACAAGCTGGTGTACTCCAGCTGTAAAAACCCCATTAGAGTGCTTTTCTTTCTTTCCATTTTACCCCTCATCTCTTCTTCAATTCACATCCAAATGCCATCCCACCTCCACCACGAAATCTGAACACCGGAAGTGTGACTAATAATTAAACAACGGTGCCGTTTCACTCATGTGCACCCTCAACAGCCGGTCATAAATGATTTCGTGGCACGACCTTTACAACGTGTTGACAGTTGTGGTGCCGCTGTATGTGGCGATGGTTTTAGAGCTGCCATTAAGCATGTAATTGTATACCAAATTGTCCCGAGCTTCCATTCTTCTTTATCAACATTAACATAGAACTGCTTGATACCCTCAAAGGTGAGCTCATCACGCTTTACCAAGATCCTCACAGGTTTGTTCATAAACTTCCTTATGATTTCTAGGGCTTCAGGTGGCATGGAAGCAGAAAAACACCCCAACCTAAACCTTTGATGGTAGGAGTTGGAAAATGTCATAGATCTGATCCTTAAAACCACGAGAAAGTGTCAGCGACGATTTCCCAATCACTTAGCGGCATCTTCTATGAGTTGGGTTTCGCGGGTGGGACTCGCTGTCACTGTCTCCGCCATCGTGGACCACGGCTGAATCCAGAGAAGAATGCATGGCCCTTTTCGAAGTCAAAAATAGAGGGGATGACAACTCGGGTGAGTCACTGAGTTGGTGATGCTGCTAATGCGAAGCAAGATGATGATGGATGAATGAGTGATTGATCACAGGCACCCAAAAGAAACAAGCAGCAGAAGTAATAGCATCAGGATTCGGATTGGGTGATTTCCATTCACCAATCATGACAACGTCGACTTGTCAAACAAAATTGAGGCAGGAAGAAAAGTAAGAACCTTGGCTATCAAGAGAGAGAGCGAGAGATCTGCGAAGGTTTGTCTCTGGAACAGCCCAATGAGGGAGGTTCTTGAAGCTTCGTGTGGGTGGTGGAAGTTTTTGGTGGTGGGAGTGGGAGGGACAGTGTTGTCTTGTCCAAGGATGATGAAATCATCCATGAGGTCATAAGAAGCTTCTGCTGTAGCTGCAAGGTTATCGGTGGGTCTCTGACTGAAACTGCAAGTAATCCCCTATTTTCTCGTCTGATGAAGATAGAGACACTTGCAACTGTGGGTTCCCGCCTTCCATGATTCTGGTTCAAGGCGTTTTGGCCTCAGGAGATGGTGGTGGTGGTTGACTGCCGCCAGAGCAGGAACTTTGGCCAGCATTTCT